TGAGATATTTTATTATATTTATTAGCATTATTTAGACATTAATTAAGTTAATAAATAAATATCTTGAGTGTGGGCCCGTAATCATTTGGGCCTAGTCCAAAATGGGATTTTAGACTTAGTAAATTAAATATTATTTCCCTAATAGTGGGTTAAGATAACATACGGTGGCTGATTCATCAGAGTAAGTAACTCTAATTTCATCTTGCTCAATCTTTTGAGGGTTTCCAATTACCATCACTGTACTTAATCGCCAGCTAGAAGATTCCCTATATTATTTTCTCTAGCTGTAACTTATCTATTACTCAAATTGAGATCTACATCAAACCTGTTGAGCTAATGGCGTGAAGTACTTATAAATCTTCCACTATAACTCTTTTAAGCAACATGCATATGCAATCTAGATTCGTCTTTCCATTTATACATATATGGATGTTTTTGACAATGGCATGATATGAAGGACTATTCTTGTATCCTTATTAACTGCCATACACTAGCCAAGGATGAACTGATGAAAGAGATATTGGTTCAGTGTGACTTTTAGCCCTTGCTTTGATTGAGAGAAAATTAGGGAGGAAGAAAAACGAAAGAGGAAACATAAGGAGAAACAAATTTTCTCTTGCTTGGATAGGAGAGAAAATGTGAGAGGAAAGAAAAGTGGAAGAGAAAATAAGGTGGGTCCCATGCTTTATTTTCTCTCCAAATTTTCTCTCCACATGGGAGAGATTTGGGAAGGAAAACAAGATTTCATGACTGCCCCTCCTCTCTTTTCCTCTTCATATTACTTTCTTTTATATATTTAAAAAGCTATTCACTTTTTATTTTTTTATCTTAAAACAATATTTTTATTAAATAATTTGGTTTAAAATATAAAAATCTGAAATACATAAAAACAAATCACTTGATTTTAAATTATTTGATGATGCTAATGTTAGTATAATTTTTTATTGCAATATTTAATTTAATTTTAATTTAAATATGATATATTTTGATAAGGATATTTTAGTTATTTAGATATTTGTTAATTTTTTTCCTCTCTATTTTCTCTCATCTATCCAAGTAAAGAGGATGATGACAACTTTTCTCCATCTTTTCTTTCTCTTTATTTCTCTCCTCTCATTTTCTTTCCTCCTCTCAACTTTTTCTTCCATCCAAACAGTGCAAAAAGCCTTGAGCTTTCATGGAAGGCAAAATCACCACACAAAAAAAAATCACCAAAATAGAAAAAATTATACATAGAGACCCGTTCATAAAAATTGCTATCAAAACCTATTCTATTATTGTCAAAACCCGTACTAATGTTACCATAGGTCTCTGTTTGTAATTTTTCTATTTCAGCAGTCTTTTTTTGTCATTTTCCCTTTATAAAATACAGTTTATTATAAAAAGAAAAAAAAGGAAAGACTAAACACACGCATATGCCAACCAAAGTCAAATTGACGTAGACTATTATAAATAGCACACTTCCGAATAATTTATTTCTTGGGCACAAAGCTAAAAACCAATCACGTAACTTATAAATATAGTGCCCATTATTTTATTCATTGTATGTAAAACCAACTTCCCTCGCTTCTTGAGGAAGCCAATTTTTCATTTTTTTTTAACTTTTTACTTTGTTTTTGGTATGCCAAATACTGAACGCGTGCCATGCAGTTTTAAAGCACAAAAATCAACCACAAATCTGAAGAAATTAAAATAGTTCTCTGGAAGGGAAACTGATACGAACCCTTATAATCACTCAAAAATTTCTTTTTACAATTTATGAGATAAAATTGAATTATTTCTAAAAATCACTTTTTTGTTTTATAAGACAATTGTTTTCATATATTTATTTTGTATTGTGCAAAATATATAAAAATGAACATTTTCACGACAATAAAATGCTTAAAATATATTGCTATAAGGTCTGTTTGTTTGCATTTAAGGAAAAATGATTTCGATAAATTAAACATGAAACACCTATAATTTGAGGACTGCGTTTGGATCCACATTTTCTGGCCGAAAAAGTAGCTTCTGATCTGTAGAGCTCATAATAATTAAACACATCCAGCCTCTTTGAGATGTTTGGATCAGCTTTTTGGCCAAAAGTTTATATGAAGAGGCACGATGCAAGAAGCATAATCCTCCTACTTATGGCTTATCTAATTGTGATTAATTGGTTTCCCAAGTTTTGTTTGCATGTTGAATGGTATTATTGTTGGAGCTAATTGTTGATGAAATTTGTGTGCAAAATGAGCTATTTGGACTTCTTTTTTCCCCTAAAAAAGTGATTATTTAAAAAGTTAATCCTAACAACTTATCAAAATTAGTTTTGGTAAGTGATGGTTGTTTCTTATTTAGCTTATTAAAATTATTAGATTTCCTTAAAGTTAAAAAAAACATGGATTTAGGGGTTGTTTAAATTAACTTTTCAAATAGCTTTCGGAGAAAGTTGGTAAAAAAGTTATTTTGAGAATAGATTTAGAAGAAAAATTTTGTGAAAAGAGTTATTTTAGAAAAATGATGACGTTTGAATGATTGTTATCAAAATTATTTTTTCATATGCAAATTACTTAAAAGGACATAAGTTCATGTGATATTTACAAAAAAAAAAAAGTTGATATTTTGTTTAAAATAATAAATTAGTAAATGATTTTTTTGTCTTGCCAACAAAATAAATGATATATGGAAAAATATAATTTTCGGTTGGCCAATTCTGATATGGGTAATGAGGAATGAGAGAAGAGTGAAGGGTATTTGTGACCAATTTCGTTTGGCCAATTTTGACGGGGATAATAATTATCCCAATGACCTTATTTACCTTTTACTTTTGCAAAACCATGTTTTTCGAACCTGAAACAATGGTTTCAATTGAAAAATTTGATTTTTGCCAAAATTCAACTGTTTGAATTGTTCTAAGTCCAAACCTTCGTTTTGGGCTAAAAATGTGTTTTTTTGTTCAAACACCCCCTTAACTAATAATTTGCCAATCTAGTTACCCATTCCACTTGATTTCCCCATCAAATAAACTACCAAGTACCAACTTGATTTCTTGAGGACATAAGGATCCTCTGTAAACGACCTTTTCTAAGAAGCCAGAAAATACCTTAAGAACTAATAAATGTATTCACAGTTCCTTTTCTTTTTAGGATAGCTTCCTCTTGGAAGTCTCTTTTATTCCATTGGACCTTGATTTAGTCATATTAATTGCATCTATAATACCTTGATTTACTCTTAGCTTGTTCCACAAGTCGATAGAATTGGCCTTTCTTAGACGTCATGTCGTTTTTCTTTATTTTCTGTTGTTTTTGGTTCTTCTTCTTCTTTATGTTTTCTTTTTTGCAAGGATATATGAAGCTTCTTCTAGATGCTAACATATTTATCTTATTTTAGAACTTAGGCCAACATGTTTGATTTCAGACCGAAAACAATAATTTTAGTAATTTTCAATATAAAAACAACAATGAATTTTCTTCAAAAGCAATTTTTAAGTATTTATATATGCGTTCTCTAAAACATTTTCTCATATTTCTTGTCATGCGTACTTCAATATGGTCTCATTAGCTGGCCAAAAAACAAAAACACATGGCCTCATTAATCTTTCATCTTGTTCTCTTTTCTTTTTTATCAACTTAATAATTCATATATAATAATCACTTCGACGTATATAAATAGGTGAGCATCATCATTGTCACTACTTTCGGAAAAATCTTTGCAATAAAAAAATTTATAAATTCTTTTTTATTTCCATAACAAAAGATCACCAGGCACACATCCGAAGACCTTGTACTTTTTTTTTTCTTTCTGTTTTTTGGATAATGTATTTGTTTTCTTTTACTGTTGTGTTCTTAATTTTTTATGGCCCTAAATTATTCTTGAGGTCATTATTTTTTGAATTTTTAAATTTTCAGAACAGATTTATACTCAAAAAAACTTCTAGGTGCCTAGTTCTTATTGGTGAAAATTTTCAGAATAAATTTACACCATAATCCATTATTGTTTATATAAAGGCTGTTATTCTTTTCCATGAAATTAAAAACACAGACGAACCAAGATTTTTCTATATCAGGAGTTTGACAACTTCTAATTAAAATTTTGGATTCTAATTATAATAAAAAAAATATTGGGTTTGCTTGGGAAGTTAGAACCTGGAATTTCCCTCCGATGAAAAAGTCCCTGATTTCAAGCAAACGTCTTCCCAGTTCCTATCTGCCTGGCATTTATCAAATAGAAGTTCTATTTTTTTTAAGGAAAAAAATTACCACTCATTGTCTATCTCGTCTTCCCAAAAAATTTCATATTAATATTGTTTTCTCAAAATTATATGTGGTATTTTTTATATACTTTAGTATTTGATGTCATAATTTTTTATGTGTTATTGCCAAAGAACCTTATAATATCATAAATTATTTTCAAAGTATAACTTATTAGGCTTGATGCCAGTTTCACTCGATGTTGGTTCTTGCTGTATTAGAAAATTTCCTTTGAATTTTGTCTCGTTTACCCTTAAGTTTCAATGTATTTTGAAAGTGATTTCAATTCTAATTCAAGTAAAAAAAAAAATTGTTGGCCAAAAAAGGTTCAGACTGTTCTTTTTTTGTGGAAATTATATTCTGAAACTTTAAAAGAAGATTAGCACGCATGACCGGAAAAATTTATGTCAAGACTGATTATGTGTTTTCATATAATTGTCTTTTTACTGTTTGAAACATTTCCATTAAAAGACTTAAAAAAAATTCATTTTAATAAATTTAATATCTTCGACTAAGTGTAATAATAAACCAATAAAAATCATATTTTATTAATAAAAATAAAATATATAATTTATAAAAGGGAAGTAATTAGCAGCTTTTTATTTTTTAAAAGAATTTCTAGTGGAATTTTTTTACATTATTTTTACCAAGTTCAAGGAAGTTTCCTACAATGTTCCAGGACTCGAAACACACGCCTTTCCATCTGTCAAGCATTTTTACTCTAAATCAGACTTTTAGAGGCATCTCAGCCATAACTTCTTCCTCTTCTTGGTCAATAAATAGAAGTCTTTGCGTCTTCCTTTGTGCCTAAGTTTCTCAAACCAAAGTCTCTGAAATCCAATCCATGGCTTCTACTTCCAATGGAGTTTCTGTTCTCTTTTTTACTTCCTTTCTTCTTCTTCTTCTTCAGGTTTCCTTCATCCATGCCTCTTGTCTTCACTGTGCAGCAGACTCTTCTTCTTCTTCATCCTCCTCCTGCTCCAACTCCAATAATAATAGGCTTCCTTTAGTGAATGGACTCTCATGGAGTTTCTACGAATCAAGCTGTCCCAACGTTAAATTTCTCATCAGATCACACCTCAAGAAGGTCTTCACAAATGACATTGGCCTCGCCGCTGGCTTGCTTCGCCTTCATTTCCATGATTGCTTCGTTCAGGTAACTTGATCATCTTTTTATCTGTTCCTCTGCTTTTCTTAACAAGCTTGAAGCATATCATCCAAGTAAATCCACTGTATAGTTTCTGATCTTGATGAATATTTGGGCAAACAGTACTGTAGCTTAGCGTTAAGTTTAAACACACATGTTTCATTCCTTTTCTTTCCATTGGCTTAGCTTTAAGAGCTATTGACTTCTCTGCCCAAATCAGAACGAAGAATTGAACTGTGTAACAAGCAATATATGAGCTTTATTTCTTAAACATGAGTCAGAACTAGTAGGACGGTGAGAAGCGAGCTAATAGCTTCGTGTACACCTAACGGTCATGCACACAAATATATATATATGGAGAGAGAGACAGAGACAGAGACAGAGACGGAGATACAGAGAGACAGAGAGAGAGCTTTAAATTGAATATTATTTTATGGCAGGGTTGTGACGGGTCGGTGTTACTGGATGGATCAGCAAGTGGGCCAAGCGAGAAGGAGGCACCACCGAACCTGAGCTTGAGAGCTCAGGCTTTCAAGATCATCGAAGACCTCAGAGCTCTCGTCCACCACCACTGTGGAAGCGTCGTCTCTTGCGCTGACATCGTCGCTGTTGCCGCTCGTGACTCCGTTTTCCTGGTACGTGCATCGCTTCTCCTTCATCTCACTTTCATATCATTGAAATTAAAAAGAAAAAATATCTCTGACACTTGTTGAATTCTCTTTTCTCCCAGTCTGGAGGACCAGAGTATGAAGTTCCGTTGGGAAGACGAGATGGCCTGACATTCGCCACAAGAAACGCGACATTGGCGAACCTCCCGGCGCCGACCAGCAACGCCGGAGTCATCCTCGAGTCATTGGCCACGAAAGGCTTCGACCCGACCGATGTTGTTGCCCTCTCCGGCGGCCATACCATCGGCATCAGCCACTGTACTTCCTTCACCAATAGGCTTTACCCTAACCAGGACCCTGTCATGGACCAGACCTTCGCCGACAAACTTAAGCTCACCTGCCCCACCGCGAACACCACGAACACCACCGTGATCGACCTCCGAACACCTGACTTGTTCGACAACAAGTACTATGTGGACCTCGTGAACCGACAGGGACTCTTCACCTCGGACCAGGACTTGTTCACTGACGAGAGGACGAAGGAGATTGTGACAGAATTTGCTGAGAACCAGAGCCTTTTCTTCGATAAGTTTGCGGACGCTGTGGTGAAGATGGGTCAGCTGGGGGTGTTGACAGGTAATAATGGAGAGATCCGAAGAAATTGCTCAGTGAGGAACCAGGATTACGAATCTTTCTTACGGATGTACCAGGTCGAGGATGCTGTGGAAGACAGGTCGGAGCTGTGAGTCGTTGTGTTTTGTCTATGGACATGGTACATAGGGACGTCTACTTAGGTTGTGTGATGTGTTTTCTAATTATGTATTCACTTGTTGATTAGGATTATCCTTTGTTTCATCGTAGCGTGTTTGATCTAGCAGACATTTCACTTGCTGTCTGATAATAATAAACATGGTTTAATTATAAGATGGCGGTGTTTCTGTAATTCAGGGCTACTGTGCAGGATCTGGGGGACCAGTTTAACAACCTTTTTTTTTTGTTTGTTTAATTTGTAAGATTAATACTCTTCGCTGAGACTATATACAATCATCTGATACACGCAAAGTAAGGCAATCTAAATCTAGAAATAAAATAGCAAATATCAGAAATAATTAAGTAAAGGAAGAAGAGTTTGGAGGCATGGGGTTAGACCCGACCATTTGGTCTGAATTGTCAATCTGAAACCCAATCTGACTTGATGTCTAACCGTATCCAATCTAGTCCAATTATGTGTTTTAGCTATTTTTTGTCTGGGTTGAATTGGATCCGGTTTTTCTAATTGAACCGGATCAGCCTAAATCGGGTTTTTTTCTTTTAACAACCCTAGTTTGAAATGAATGCATTGACTTCTTTATTTAAAAGAAAAAGTTAAAAAGACTTTTATCATATTGTACTCTTCCCAATCCTATTTTCTAAATATAAGATTCATTATTCTGGCTTACCCTAAATATAATGTTTGTTCACTCTTTTTTCCTCTATATATAATACCCCTATTTATTGATGAGGCATTTGTATATTTACATATTTTAATGTCATTAAACAACCAGTTTATTTTTTCATAAAATAGCATAAATTTTCTGCACATTAATTATGCATAACCAACCAATTTACCCTTCTTCTTTCTTAAAATTCTGTGAATTGATTAACAAAACATTGTAATAGGATGGAGAGAATAACTATTTGGCGTTAATAGGACAGAGTCGTTAGTTTACTTTACATTGATTTGAAATACAGTTGACTCTTGCCAATTTATTTTTTGTTACAACTTTTGCCAAATTAAAATAAGCGCGTGACGGACGGTAGAATAAATATCACTTTTCTGGTCTCCTTCCCTTTATTTTTATAAGGAACAACTACTGTTCTCTTCTTATCCCTAAATAGAAACAATATTTATAAATTGTCTTAAATTTTTATTACAAATTTTCTATTTTTTTCTCATTAATTACTTATTTTAATATCTAATATATTTATTACTATTTTCGGTCCTTAATATAAGAACTCGTTTGACTTTTATTTTGGTCATAAATATAATAATCCAATCTACTTTATCTTTTATATTTATTTTTTTTTCAAGGTAGTCCTTCTACTAATGGTGGTTCTAACCAATACACTTGATGAGTAAGGATATTTTAGAAAAAACAACACTTATTTATTACAAATAACTAACTTAACTAGTTTTCTTAATTTACTCAAATTAGTCAATTAGCTCTTATATTAAAGATCAGAAGTAGTATTTCATTTCTCAAACCATCATCTCTTTCCATGCACATTCTCACTCTTTTATAAATAAAATTATTTTTGAGAAAGAACTTCTAATTTCTACCTGTTTATTATCTTTAATTAACTTTTTTCCCCCTTATTTGATGGGGTCTAAGGTTATTTATCAAAAAAGACGGAGGGAGTATTTTTCAGCCAACTAGTTCTAAGCCTAATTAATTACCGCTGCCTTAAGTTATCATTTTTTTTTTGGTTTTTTTTTAACTATATACTAATAAATATCTCTCCACGCCTTTGCAAGCTGTCTAAGTTATCTTTCGGGTCGCACGACAAATGTTATTTAGTGTAAAGCATTGGTACACCTTGTCGCACCCTAGAACATTTCCTCAATTCTCATCCATTTTCTATCTTGGCAACAGAGCCATAGCAATGCATCTTCCGCCAATCCCTTCGTGAAAAGACCTTTCCTTACCCTAACTATAAAACCTTTATATTAAATTAATCATAATAGAAAAGAATTAGACTAAAGTCTAAAAATACTACTATAATTATAAAGAGTTTGACTTATTTTAAAAGCCTCATAAATTTACACAACAATAGTCAAGACTTAGGGCACAAGTACCGCCCACCAACCTATTACTAACATATCACAAGAATTAAGGCACAAGAATGGTAGGAGCTAAACCCAACGCACAATGCTCACACTTGCTTAAATCTAACAGTCTCAAAATCATAACAACCATCAAATATAATAAGAGTTTTTTTTCTCGAAAAGATGATAAATGTGGATCCACAAGATTCATACGTAAGAAATCCTATGGCCTCTGGCCATTGAATAAATATCTATCAAATACATAATCCAAATTGTATAATTCCATCCATGTCATTCCCTCCATTTTTGGTGCCATTTTATACAGAAAAATGGGAAAAAAAAAATCCTATCCCACCAAGCTTATAGTTATTTCATTGCATAATCTCGTAATATCGGTTGAATTTTTCTTACATCCTGTTAAATTCATTACTTCCAAAAATTTAATTCTTTATGATAATAATTCCTTTTTATTGAAGAGAGATTTTCATATTTTTCTTAGGACAAAATTCAATCTATAACTTATTCTATTCAGTTTTTTCCGAAATCAGCTTTTTACTGATAAAATTTGCCTTTAAATATTTTTAAAGATAATCTCTGTATCTTTAGAGGTTGGGAACTATTTTATAATCCATAATAACCTCTCAAATAATTTTTCTCATTCTTAATAAATTATTGAGACCTCTACATATTTTAAATAATTCATTTTAGCTAATTTTTTTAATTAGTCAAAATTTTAGGAAATTACAGAAAATTTTAAAATTGTTACGAAACTAGAAGAAATAAGGAGACTAGAGAGTAAAAAGAAAAACAAGAGATAGAGAAGACAATGGCTTTTTTCTCATTCACTTTGTTTCATGATACAAATGCTTTATGCATAACCTCTATTTATAGGCTTCTAAGTATTGAAGTCCTATACTTGCGTTATAAAGGAATAAAGAACATCATCATGGCATTAACAATGAGAAACTTTTCACAATCATTCATTAGACAAGTTATGTAGTTCATGACATTTGAAGATGAGGAATCTTATGAAAATTCTAAGGATTAGCTGTTATGGGCATCCATTCATGCAATATTCATAATACTTCCCCTGGATGTCCATAAATAATATTGTGCCTCATTAAAATTTTACTAGAAAAAACACATTTGGACAAAAATCTAGTAAAGGAAAAAGAATACATAATATTTACTCCCGCTAATGATAACATCATTTTATATCTCTAATTCTGCGCATTCCAATACCATATACTAACTTCTCAAATATTCTAGTCGGCAATGTCTTGGTAAACAAATTAGTAAAGTTGTCATATGAGCGAATTTGCTGAACATTTATATCACCATTTTTTAAAAGATTTTGAGTGAAAAAGAACTTTGGAGAAATATGTTTTGTTCTATCTCTTTTGATATATCCTCCCTTTAATTGAGCTATGTATGCTGTATTATCTTCATATAATACTATTGGAATCTTTTTTTCTAGGCAAAAACCACAGATTTTTTTTGAATATGTTGAATAATTGACCTCAGCCAAAAACATTCTTGACTTGCCTCATGAATTGCAATTATTTCCGCATGATTTGATGAGGTAGCTGATAAAGTTTGTTTTGTTGAACGCCATGAAATAGTTATACCCTCACAAATAAATAAATATCCTGTTTGAGACTTGCCTTTATGTGGATCTGATGAAAATCCTATATCTGCATAGTCAATTAATTGTGATTCTGATTCATAAAAGTAAAATAATCCTATATCAATTGTCCCTTAAAGATATCAAAATATATGCTTAATTCCTTTCCAATGCTTTCTTGTTGGGGAAGAACTAAATCTTGCCAATAAACTAATAGCAAATGCAATATCAGGCGTGTTAAATTAGCAAGATACATTAATGCACCTATAACACTAAGATATGGTACTTCAGAACCATGAAGTTCTTCCTCATCTTCTTGAGGGCGAAAATGATCTTTATCCTTATCAAGTTACAACCATAGGGTAGGTAATGGATGCGCTTTATCCATATAAAATCGCTTTAATACTTTTTCAGTATAAGCTGATTGATAGAGGAAGATTCTATTTACAAAGTGCTCAATTTGTAAGCTGAAGCAAAACTTTGTTATTCCAAGATCTTTCATTTTAAATTCTTTCTTTAGATAATCAACTACTTTTTGAAACTCTTCGGAAGTGCCAATTACATTTAAATCATCCACATAGACAACAATTATAACAAAATCTGACCCATTTCTTTTTATAAAAACACATAGGTAAATTGGATCATTTTTATACCATTCTCTCAACAAATATTCACTAAGCCGGTTATGTTAGTGACAGCTTCACCTAAGAGGAGGGTGAATTGGGTGAGATATAAAAATTTGACATAATAAAACAGTAAACCAATTAAGCAGGGGAGAGAGTAGGTTAGGAAGATTTCACTGAAGAACGAAGACAAGGAGTTTATACTGGTTCAGTCTCAACAACTTGACCTACGTCCAGTCCTTAGAACACCTCTGAGATTTTCACTATGTTCCTAAGATTAAACGGGCTCTTGGTGTCATAGTACAGTAATTGATTTTCTTAATTACTCCCCCTTACTACTCGTAAGGCTACAATGCCCTCAAGAGTCCACACTCTAGAGTTACTCTAAAAAATGAGTAAAGAAAGATGTATCAAGCTCTCTTACAGAGTAAATGAATATTAAACACTAAAGCTTGGTAAAAAATAGAGTATTAAATGTAACAGTAAATTTCTTAACAGATGGTAGCTCTTGTAATTAATACTTCATTCAATGCCCTTTGCACTTTTTATAGTTGGAGAAGTTTAATTAGCCATTAGATTGAAGAGCTTCTAGCCGTTGGAAGATCGCTTGCGCGTGTTCGGAAGTTACAACGGTAGTTCGCCTTTAATGCTTTTGACATGGTAGGTTAAAGGCTACTAAATAACCATTGAGCGTCATAATCTGTAAAAACTTTTGACACAAGTAAGTCTTTTTGAAGAAATTTTGTAAGGATAACAGAATAAGTGATGATCATTGACATTGATACAATAGATTAGAAAGCATAGAATCAATCATCAGATCCTTCAAATGTAATATGAGCTTACTTGATTGATGTCTAGAGCAATGAATGGTTGATCGATCTGGTTAACAA